CCATGGTATTACAGGAGACGATGTTTGTAACAATATCATACAGACTCGTCATTTTCTGGCTGGCTTGTAAAATTGCAATCAGCTGGTTATTAGCAATATCAGGGTCCTCAAATACATTGATGTTTCGCAAGTAAATTAGACCATTGAGGTGTTTCCTGGGCAACATTCTGGAATTAAAAATATATTTAGAACATAACAAACTTAATAAGGCCACACCGACTTAATTCTATGGATGACATCCGCGCGCGAATTAGTTTTCGTCTGTTCTCAAAAAAAAAAAAAAAAAAAAAAATCTCCGACGACGAGTCTACACAGATCGGTTTTCTGTCGGAACTTGCCGACTCATATTGCCACAAAGCGCCGGCTTGTCGTAAAACTCGTTTTGGACTACCTCAAAACATGCCAATTTTGTCGTAAATGATTCCAACATGGCGACCACGCCACCAAAATACGTGAGCATAAAAGTTCAGATGAAAAACGGAGGGACTGTTGTAGACTGGTACGCAATTGACGTTGGCCAGGGAGATGTGGCGTTTACACAACTATACGAGAGATTGGTAGCGGCAAGCGAGTTTCGCCCAGACAACTTTAAGGACATATTGTCCAGAGTGGCTATCCCGCGTTTCTTCTGCAACGATGAGAGAAATGGGAGAGGAGTGGAGGTGTATGGTGGCCTAAAAGTTGGTCAGGCGACAAGTCAGTTCGGTTGTTTTGTTAGCATTGAAGTCGACAAAACTGCAAAGAAAGTAGAGGAAGTTCCGCTTTGGAGGTGAAGAAAATTTTCTTCTTATTTTCTGATTCGGATAATTTGCTTGCACACACAGTGCAATGTTTTGTTAGTTATTGTCATAAAGTAGTGATATGTACAACATGTACATGTGTACATTCTGCCTTGACTTGAAAATGGTGTACATGCTGTACCTTGAATGCAGTGTTTCTGACTGAAGATACTTCATCATGACTACATGTACTAGAGCTTGTCTGAAATGGTTACACATGTACCTGTGACAGTAATACAGTACGAGAGGTGTACATCAACATGTGCCTCCTACAAATAAAGACTTCTTGTTGTTTTTTTAGTACACTCTGTTCTGTGCTTCAATTCGTAATACCAGCTCCGCAGTCCTGTGGTTTTAGCAGCATTTTTTTTGGGGGCAGAATTTTTTTTTTTCGCCCTCTCGCATTAGTTTTTGGGTCTCCAGAGGATGTCATCCATAAAATTAAATCAGTGTGGCCTAATAACCAACATTGACTCACAGTGACTTTTGTGAAATTTTGTCCTTATACCTTGGTTGAACCAGTGTGTATTGTGTCAGTGCGCCCTCTTTGGCAATTCAACATTCTCCACTTTGATTTGGGTGTTTACAGGCATGACCAATCAGATTTATCCAAGGTCAATGATGCAACCTTTCAATATGAGAAATCAGCCAATAAAGAACGTTTACTGTTAAAAAGATTTAATAATTGCACAGACTGAACAGTTAACCATTCTGTATTTTTGTCTCATTGCCACACACTGATAAACTGCTAGCAATCTGCTGAGTGTGGAATCAGGGATGTATTTGCTATCATTGTCTTTTTTTCCTGTATTTCTGATGTTCTCTGAAAGACATAAAAAAAAATGCATGTAGTAATGTAGGACAGGAAGGTTTGGGGTCAAGCCTATTCTTTGTTTACCATTGTATACACCCTGAGTGTTTCAAGCTGTGAATTGAATCTCACCTGCAATATTCAGACTTTTCACAACAGTTTAAATATTGTTGCTAATGCGAGTTGCTAATGCTTAGTATGATGTCATTAAGACACTCATTGCATTGTGGGTTATTTGGTGAATCCAACATGGCGGAATAACGTGATCAACAGCAGTAATTGATGAGTGTTTAAAGTGACTGAATGAGAATTTGAGCTATAAAAATCAGCAAGAATTCCGATATTTTATTATAACAGTGGCCATAAAAGGAGATTTGATAGTTTATGGGTGAAAGAGAGATAACAAGATTGGAGAAATGGTTACCTGATTCTACTACAGAAGAACTTGATGTGTATCAAACGATATGATAGATATTTATTTCTCAAGATGAAATAAGAATAATGAAAGCATTACGTACGACTTATGCAGTTAGGCTAAAAAAGGCCATTGAGTTTGGTGCAATTGTGAGAAGTTGATTTTAAAACATCTGATTCCAGCAATTGACGAACATAACATATAAGGTGTTAGTTATGAAGTCATCAAAAGAGATGTCAGTGGCTAAAGTAGAGCAATACAAGAATTAAGGGATTTCATACGTGCATGGATTCACTAGACCTCACATGAAAGGCCATAAATATAACCACATAGTGTGTAAAACTCACTCAGTAAGAGTGAGCATACAGGTAGTTGTTCCAAGACAAATGGCATGGCCTGACAGTGTTGCAGATGTCAACATTTATGGGTGGGCATCAGTTCGAAAATCTAGTACACTCATCAATGATGAAGAGAAGAGCCAATGTTAAATATATTTGCAAAGCAATCTGCTAGTCAAAGGTGAATTTAAGGCTGATGTGGAGCAGCAATAAAATTTCATCATAGCTAAATGTACAATTAATCCACCTTCACCCACTAGCAAAAACGCCCTCATTGGGCATTGTACTGTTTAAATCAGATGGTTCACTAGCATAAACTTAAAAATTAAACCCATTGCAAAGGCTGTCACAGAAGATGGGAGCCAGTTGGAAAA